TGGCTCCTGCATGGTGATGATAAACACGCGAGTAACTATTGGGATCAGAAAGACGCATATATGTATATGTACATATAATTACTCACTTGGATACTTGGATGGCTCGTCTTCACTAGTTGTGCGGACACCAGTATAATTTCCATATTTTCGGAGATTTTCTTGTTCAACCAATGTCCCTGAAGTTCCGAGGACAGCCTGACCAAAGGTTACCTAGATCGGCATTACCACAGGCAGTCGACGCCCTTGTGGATCAGAGAGTGTGAATACCTCCAGCAACCCTTCCAAGCATTGAGCAACTTGAATGAGCAAATATACATACATTTTTTTCGCTTGAATGCTACATCTGCCAGCTGAGCCTCACTCGTTTCATAGGCATTAAAACCTATCACTTTGCTATCACATCTTTTTTTCTTTGGAAAGAAGGTATCAATAAGAACTTCGCTGACTATGACGTGCAAAGATCTACTATCAGATGGCCTTCCGAATAGAAATGTCGAACTTCCTCTTAGGTGAGGAGGATGAACTGATGTTTGTTTGGTTTTGCATCCATAAAGATTCTAATAAGAAAAAATCGAAGCAGTTGGTGTAATGTAAAATACCTTACCGATTCATATCAGTGACAATCTTGACCTCTTTGACAATGATTACCCGCGAATACCACATTAATATGTTCGTTCGCCATTGAGAACAGATAGCTATAAGAAATGCTAATTTTAAAAAAGTCGTAAAAAAGGATACCTGCATTGACTAAACTTCAGGAAACATAAAGATTTACACACTAAGAACATGTATGACTGTACTGACAAGGAATGTACCAGAGTTTTAGCAGTTAGAGCAATGCACCAGAATCGCAGTGAATGGCTTCGTGGAATATAGCTATTTGAGTTACTTATCAGATCTGAATAATTACTAGCTCCAGAAAGAATGTTCGACTTCATATTAGAGTGCCTTGGAAACCTCTACGACCAGCATTCTTATGGAAGATCAAGGTGAGTATGTCCCGCGTTCCCACTTAGTAATGCATTCAGATGACGGAGCTCTATTAAAATTGTGAAGCCGAGGTCCGAGTCCCAAAAACCCATTTATACACTCTTTGTGCTTTCTGATTATGTGGCTTTAGGGACACAGCACTCTGCACAGATGAAATGATACGGTGGCATCGAAAACGAGAAGGTGCTGATTCTTTGGATTCGAATAGTGGATCAGAGGGTGAAAGGTTGTGAGACCTCATTCTTCTTCCAAAACCATCAAAATTTGGAGCAGTAGCCTTGATAGCAAAGGTTAGCAATAAAAACTAGCGTGAATCATTAACCAGCCAACCGGATTGCTTTAGAGTTTGTAAACTCCTGTATTCACCATCACATTACTATCGCAAAGCTGATGTGTATTTCAGTGCGCTTTGCAGGACAATCAACGTCGCAAGCAAGGTTTCAGAAGGCTGCTGGCGAATGACAAGCTTCATTCTACTTCTGAAACATTTGAAACTTACACTACTAAGCTGTTATTTCCTTGCTGCGGCTACTCACCCCTTTATATAAAGTCTTCCACTAAATATGTCACGCGGAGACCAATTGCACAGAGTTCACATGGAATCGTAGTGTGCCTATCTCATCAAAATAACAGGCTTATATACTGCTCAATATCACGCGTGGTAATGAGGAATTCCTCCCTGCGGTTCATTTTCGGATTCTTGGAATTAATCCGGAATGCCTCTAGAGCTTTGAGCGGTTGAGGCAAATTATGTAATTTTGCGTTGCACATAGACGGTCGTATAGGCGGCTACGAACTAGTTGGCGTCTTAGATTACTCGGTGGCGTTTCAATTATCGTTACCGAATTCTCTAGACCGGCCCTTCTTAAACAGCGTTTTATAACTGCATTTGCTTCATTTAAAATGAAGGGCAGGATAAACGGGACCTTATTGTCGCTAGAGTTATCGCTGGGGTACCTGTGGTTTCCTCTACACCTATCTCGAGCTACAGTTTCGTAGCCATTAGAAATGGCTATTTGCCGCGCCAAGTTCCGGGACTCCTCTCTCTGCTCTCTTCCCGTGCACACGTTGATTGTTGTTCGAAACATGTTTCTTATAAGCGCACTTTTCGTGTGAGAGGGGTGAAAGAAGAGGTAGTGAACCAAGATGTTTTTACTACTTAGCTTTCGGTACCACTTTGTAATGTAGTCATTTTCTGACAGGTGAATTCAGCCAGCTAGTTCGTAACCGCCTATATGACCGTCTTTGTGCAACTCAAAATTGCATAATTTGCCCCAGTGGTAGAGACGGTGATTGTATGAGCTCGGGTATAGTTTATCTGATCTGCTGTAAGACGTGCGGAGACGAATAGATTGGCGAAACGGGCAGACCCCTCTGTGTCCGCATAAAAAACACCTAGCCGGCAAACATAGACCAAATACCACGCTAGGCACGATTAGAACCCAGAGACATAACGGGGAGGACTTCGAAGTATGTGTCACGATCCTCGCACACGAACCAAGAAAACAAGCGCGCAAAACTCTCGAGGCATTCTGGATTGATTCCAGAAATCTGAAAGTGAACCGCAGGGAAGAATGCCTCATTATCACGCGTGATATAGAGCAGTATATAGGACTGTTATTATGATGGGAGGGGGACATTATGCTTCCATGTGATTTCTGTGCGGTTGGTCTCTACGTGGCATACTTAGTGGAACCCTCATAGAAAGCGGTGAGTGTGCAAAGCTGTGTTCAATGTTATTGAAATCTTGGTTTAGAGTTTCTTTGTTTGGTTATGGAGGTGTCTGGCCGAGTAGAATGCTATCAACTTGACCTTTCCAGGCTCTGAGGAAGGCGAAATCCGCCGGAACGTCAGCTTATTCGTGAATAAAGAGTAATAACACCTCGCGTTTGCTCAAGAAAAATACGAAGGAACATTGAATATCTGTGCGAAGAACAACCGAAAAGAACTGCCGATTACCAGAACAATACTGGTGGTCTTGTGCTTCACCTATAAATTCCGACCACATTTTTCTATGTCGAGATGACTTCTCTTGCGTTACTTCTTCATGTTACGTGCTACTGAAGAGAGTACCTACTAGTATAGTACTTGTCAATGTGCACTCAAAATAATGTCGGCCAATAGCTTTACAAGGAATCTCTGGACAGGAGGTTAAAAAAAAGCCATTTCCAATAGCTACGAAGGGGTAGGAATGCGGGATAGATTTAGAGGAAAAATCACGTCCCCAGATGACAATTCTGTCGAAAATAAAGTCCTGTTCACTATGTTCTTCATTTTAAACGAGAGAACTGCAGTTATAAAACGTTATTTAAAAACGCTTCACTTAGAGAAGTCGGTAGGAGTGACTAAAATAGCACTGAACATTAAGACACCAATTAGTTCGTAACCGATCGTGTGACCATCTCTGGAAAGGCACAATTGCATAGTTTGCACTAACAGGAGAGACGGTGAACGGATGAGTTCGGGTGCGGTTTATTTTCTCTCTTGTGAAGCGTCTGGAGAAGAATACGTTGGTAAAACGGGTAGACCACTCTGCGTTCGCATAAAAGAACACCTAGTCGGTAAATTTAAAGTGGAGCTAAATACTTCATTAGTCGCGCACAGTCCACAGAGACTGGGATAGCGGAGATTTCGAGAAACGTCAAAGCGTAAAAGCCTTAAAGCGTTCTAGATAGTATCCAGAAATCCAGTGACGAACTGCAAGGAGGAAGGGCCTTGTGATCACATGCGATCTCGCGCCGCACGCCAAATCGATTTTTTGATCTAAGCTAAACACATTTCTCACCCATGTGGGACTCTGCACGGCTGGTCTCTAGTGGTAACTGGAGCGCTTACAAACAAAGAAATGGTGAGTGTTTAAAAAAAAGAAGAACAAAAAAAAGAAGAACAGAAAAGAAAGAAGCTGTTCACTATGCGATTAAAATAGTGAAGTTTTGTCTGCTGAGGTCATGTTGGCGTTTGACTGAGTGGATCGGATGTCAGTTTGACTCGTCCTGGCTCTCTGAAGAAGGCGAACCCGTTAAGAGTCAACCAGTACTGTACTCAACAAGTTTCGCTGTTAACAACCTCGTGTTTGCTGATCAAGAAAACAGTGTAACATAAATGGTTCAGCAAAAGTGATCTTAAAACATAAAATGGATGTCGCAGAAATAACAGGTTAGGTGATTTTCCTAGTAACATTTAGCTCTGAAACGGTGGTAAGAAGGGTAATCATGAGGTACGCATCAGCACTTAACAAAGAAATCGATGACCGTTTGCAAGCGTATAATTTTAGACAATCATTCCGTTCCTATGGGATAGTGTAGCGCAGTGGTCGCAGGTACCTTGCTATACGCATAGGATCGGTTCTCGCACACCAGGCCGACCAAACCCTCCATCCCTCCAGGGTCAGCTAATTGGTATCAGACTTGTCTGGGAGGATAGCACCACTGGCTCTATACATCGGTAGGCCACCACGAGTTATTGGAAAGGACAGATGAGCATTCAGTCACTCCCAACGGTGATTAATGAAGTCGAATGCGTGGAACATCCCTCAGGGAATGAGCTACGCCGATAGCTTTATTTTTTTAATCCAACCCTTTCTTGAAGATGACTCTACAGCCTCCTGGTATAATGCTAGCATTTCAACATCGAAGCTTCCATTTCATTTTTACACAAATTACTCATAAATGGTAAATCCTACTTTACTGCGATTTGCATTCCACACGTCTACAAGTTGCGGCGTACGCAAATACGGAAAAGCATTTCACGAGTCTTGGCTGTGTTCGGTTAAAATACATGGCCTTGACAGGCATCTCCTCCCCTAGTTACACTGGGCCATTGAGGTAATTTTGAGGAGTGTTTCTTGTTTTCTAGTAGTGGGAACTTATTGTAGTGGAGTTCAGTAAATCTGATCGTTTAATTTCTTGTTTTACTAAACATTCGGCCTTAGTTTAACCCATTGGGGTTCTCAATTTTGATCCAGTTCACAGAATTTGAGTCTGCTTTCTATTTTTTTTTGCTTTGTTTAGGAGGTGCAAGACCGTTTGTTCTCAATGGCGTCACCTTACGTCGCTAGCGGATCTTTGAGTCAAGAAGATCTTCACAGAATGTTGTCTCCAAGATTGGCAAGTAGGTATTTGTGATTATTCATCTTCAATTAATGTTTTTTGCGCTGTTCTGATTACTATGACGGTAATGATAAAGCGCTTCCTATGTGAATAAAAGGAAAAAGCTCTCGGCGTTGATCAATCGCTGAGGGATGCGCCATGCATTCGACTTCATCAAGTATCGCTTGAGGTGATTGAATGCATATTTGGCCTTTACAATGACTCGCGGTGGACTACCGATTTATCGAGCCAGTGCTGCTATCCTCCCGGGCAAGTCTGGTACCAATTTACCGATCCCAGAGGGATAGAAGGCTTAGTGAAGCATGGGATGGGGAGATCAGTGCATGTCAATTACAGTGTGCCTCTGACCACAGCGCCACATACGCCCTTACATATGTTTGTTAGAGTATAAAATTCACTAAACGTAAGGACTAAGAACGTAAATATTTCTAGCCATAGAGCATTAGGAGTGCTTCCATTGTTGTTGTCTCGCATTGTGTTAAGGTCATTGGTGCATAACCGGATGCTGAAATGCTTCCTTGTTACGCGACAGGATATCTGTTCGGAAAAACCAAATTTATTTCGTCAAAACCTCATTTACCTAGTCTTCGGCTTGATATTTTTATTTTTCGCTATTGCTTAGTGTATTATAAAATGTGCTGTTATCAAACTCATCCCGGTTTTAAAGGGGATTTCCATCTATTGTAAAATTTCTTAGCTTTGCTGCTTTCATTTCAATATTTCAGAATTGTCCGCAGAAAGGGATCGAGATCAGCATTCACTGCGAAGCAAATATGGCTCTGACACTAACATTAGTTTAGAGGCTGTGGAAAGTTTCAATGTTAGAGGTGGTGCTTTACCGGAAACTTTCAGAGGTTGGGGTTTGTCCGGTTCGTTTTTATTATTTGTAAATTTGAGCATTCCAGCTCTTAGTTTTTTCTTGTAGTGGTTTTTATTGGTAGTGATCAAAACCCTCCCAAGGGGTTACCGCCTCTTCATGGCTGGGAGGTGTTCATGGGTGTCAGGTGCGGGGGATACACCCCCAGTAGGGCCTCTCAAGCTGAGGAGTTCGGCGTCTGCTTCAGAAAGCCCGACCAGGAGTAAACCAATACCGGTATCCGTTACCGTCCTCATGCCGAACTAGTCGCGTGGTGGCAAATCTCCCTTTGATCCACAAGGGCCACGACTGCCTGCGGTGGTGACGACCTGCGGCAGAGTTTGGCCTGACTGACCTCGGGATTACAAGGAGCCACAATAGCCAAATCAGGAAAACTCCGATAAAGTGGAAATTATGCTGGTGCCCGCACAACCAGAGGCAATCCAAGTATTCAGATAAGTAAGTGGTTGGAACCCTGGATCTGAGTCCTCATAATTCTTTATATGGCAGTGCAAGTGTGTCTTATTGAACATTAGAACATACACGGTATCGTAATGTGGCTCACTGATAATTGATTCAGACGTAGTGGTAGAACTTAGCGACTATCTCCTGGATAGTGCGTTTCTGGATTGTATATTTGATGTACATCGTGAGGCGGCAATATTGCATCGCCATGGTCTTCAAATCGATAGTCCTCCACCTACGCCCAATCAAGCGGTGGTAAGTTTTGTGTATTGAAGAAAAGTTGTACGTAGTACACAAAAATATCTCTTCCAGGATTCTCCGCAATCCAGTTCGGACACACCACGATCGCGACCTCCAGAATCAAGTACACCTGTATGTATTCTTTCTAAAGTAATGGACGTGTGAAATAGAAACTTATACGTACTTTCCAGATTACCGTCAAATGTCGAGTTTGTGGACGGATGGTTGGTGCTAAAGTGTTCGAGAAGCACATCATTAGCTGTAGAAAATTGGACGGTAGCCGAAGTAGCTCACGGTATGTTTTCTCTAACTAGTGTTTCATATTGACATCAGTAGAAGACTTAGTTTTGTAGGGCAGCAGCAAAAAAGATTGCCGAGCAAGAGATGATTGCTGAAAGCACGTTCAACGATGACGATTTTACTGTACGTTTTGTTCGTCTTAGATGTGCTCCAATTTTACCATGAGATACTAACATCTGATTCTAAGTCAGAGTACGTGTTTATATAGTATTGTTAGGTAGTACTTGGATATTTGGATAGCTCGTCTTCATTGGTTGTGCGGGCACCAGCATAATTTCTATTTCTTCATAGTTTTGTTGGCTTAGCTATTGTGGTTCCCTGGAATCCCGAGATCAGGCTAGCCAAAGTCTGCCCTTGGTCGTCACTACCACACTCAATCACCGCCCTTGTGAACCGATGGGAGATTTGCCATCACCTTCAACTAACGTTTTACTTATTCTCATCAAGCCATACGCAACCACTTTCGATTTCGCAGAGGCAGAAAAAAGTGGTGAACCCTAACGTGGCTTAGACATGTCAGTACTGGTCTTTTTGGCAGGAAGGGATAAGTTTTCGACTAGAGAATTTGTGGGGTTAAGAACACCAAAGAGTTACAAAAGATGATTCGTTTCACTAATCATTTTGGAGATGATAGATGCTACACTTTTTACTGTAATTCACCTACCAATACAATGTCGGAATTCCGAAGGGTTTTGTTAGTTATGTTGAATGCAATGTGGTGTGATTTACATCCGCCTATCCCATGAAATAGCCGCAACCCATAATAACAACTGGAAAAGACAAAGCTATGAACACACTTAAAAATTAGACTTTGTATGCTCTAAATAAGAGGCGATGGCGGTTTTCTAATGAGTTCTGGTAATTTCTGGTAACTAGGGAAACTACAAAGTTGCTAATTTGACATGGCCGTGGAAAAGATTTCTCTCTATCATTCCGAAAGAGAGCAGTAACTTCCCTATACGTAGTTTTTATTTTGGGTTTATTTAGAACTCATAGCTTTAGAAAAATCAATTTCCGTCGTTGTTAGATAGAACTTGCATATTGCTGCCGAAGATCTTTAGATTCTCATAATTTTTCTTTCAATCGATAAAGTTCAGTTTGAACTGAGACATGCTTGTTGAAGAACATAACTGATTTCGCGCTGCTATGAATTGGAAATAAAAATTGCTTAGTAGATTTAGAAATTGACCATCTCAATAAATGGGCGGGATTTTGTATCATTTGCTGCAGAAAAATCGTAGCAAATGTACTTTGACTCTCGAGAAAAACATTAGAAGATCCGAGTTTAAAGATGCTCCCTTTTGTTGAGGTTGTCATCACTGTACTGCCTCCCTCCGTCTCGTATATTCGTTCTTCACGTTCTTTTTCACCTGTATCTATCATTATTTCAACTGTCATCTACTTATCGAGAGTGAGAATGAGGTTGAAGACGAGGAGGATATTGTGCAGCTTCTTGGGCCTTCTATCGAAGAAAGTAAAGAAAGCGAGGCTGTGGAAGAAGATGAATGCTTTGATGGTGCCAATGGTGAGTGGTCAGCTGATGTAATACCAAAAAACTTCTTCGATGGCATCAAGACTGGTATAAATGGTGAATTAGTACTATATCTCGGAATAATTCCCACCACCGACTTTCTATTAACCTCGGCATTGAGCAGATCATTCTTTATATTCTTGTTGAGCAAACTCGAGGTGTTGTTTTATTCTTTATTCAAAAACAAGCTGACCTTTCGGCAGATTTCGCCTTCCTCAGAGCCTGGATCCACTGATTATGTGGAGACCAACCGCTCAGAGTTTACATGGAAATGTAGTGTGCCTCTCACATCAAAACAACAGTTTTAAATACTGCTCAATATCACTCGTGATTATGAAGCATTCCTCCTTGCTGTTCATTTTCGGATTTTTGGAGCTAATCCAGAATGCCTCGAGAATTTTGCGCTCTTGTGTTTTCGACTACTGTGCGAGGATCGTCACTTCTATTTCAAAATCTTCCCCTTTATGTCTTTGTGTCCTATGCGCGCCTAATTGAGGTACTTCTTTTACGTTTATGTTTACCGACTAGGTGTTCTTTTATATGGACGTAGTGTGGTCTACCCGTTTCGCCAATGTATTCGTCTTCGCGCGCTTTACAAGAGATCAGATAAATTGTATCCGAACTCATGTGACCACCTTCTCTACCGTCAAGGTAAACTGTGCAATTTTGCGTTGTACATAGACGGTTATACCGGCGGTTGCGAACTAGTTGGCTCGGTGGTATTTCGATTATTCTTGCCGAATTCTCTAGACCGGCTCTTCGTAAGCAGCGTATTATACCTTATTATCGCTAGAGTTATCGTTTGGGGGCTTGGGCTTGGTATTAGGTCCTTCTAAAATTGGTGTGAGATTTGATTTGCTTGTTATGTGCTTTAGGGAATCTTTTTTGTTTCAATTGCTGTGCTGTTGTACTTGATTGAAAAGCCCTTTTTACGCATTTTTGCTCCATATAATTGAATTATGATATAGATGATGTTTTTGAGAGATTTTGAAAGTTAGGATTTCAGATGAGAAAAAAACAGAAGTTTTGACAAATCTACTATTACGAATTTAAACTCGGAAGTAGTGCGGCTAAACGCTTCGAAACAGTAACGGATAAAGCACCAAGGATGTCTTATCGAACGTATAGTGCAACATTTGTTTGGAAAACTTCATCGTAGCGAATTCAACCTTCAAGATGAGGAAGGTTGCGGACGTCTTTCTGTTATTGACGACACTGGATTGAGCGCTCCTCTATGAATAAACACATACACAACTGTTCAAAAATTTGGTGGAGAACTCACTGTGAACAGTGCAACTGTTTTGAAACAATTCCAACTTATTATTTACTGCCTACTGCTTTTTAATGGCAGGGTATGTTGCGAAATATAAAATCAAAGACGAAATTGCATCCAAAATTGTTATGCCAACGTTTTGGTCTCAGCTACTGGTTTGATCAGTCGCAACTTTTTAAATCCAAATGGAATGATTATTGCGGTGAAGTGCGTTAAGCAAATTAACGAATTGCGTCAAAACTTTAGCGGTTGTATTGTTTGTTGGTCAACAGAAAGTCGCTAATACTTTTCCATGATAACGCGCGGTCACACCTCCCACTACCGACGCTGCAGAATTTGCACGCGCTTTGAGGGTGCGAAAATCTGTCTTATTCACCATAATCGTAGGAGCTCTCGCCTATCGATGCTACTTCATGCACCTCAATATCTTTCTGCACAATAAATGCTTCAGGAGCCAAGCCGAAACCGAAACTACCTTCAATTTCTTCACTACCATGAAAAGTGCAGATTTTTTGGAGTTGATGCAGTAAATCTTTTTTTTGGGAAAATTGACGTGACCATTTCTACTGGAACGGCTGCTCAGTGAAAGTTGCAACCAGAGGGAATTTTCTGAACACAAGTGAACAGATGAAGGTTTATTGCCAATTTGTTAGAAGGACGATTGTATTGTATTGTAGGGTTGTAGGACGATTTGTACTCTGTGTACTTACGACTGTTCTTCCACTTGATCACTCAGACGTGTTTGTTGAAAAAATGTATACCGTAATGAGAGCATGGGAAAGCCTGACATTAAGACGAACGTCTGCTGGCGTTAGTTCGAAATTGCTAATGCTTTCACACTATGGACTTCGCATTTCGCTTAAGCAAGCAGCACCAGGGTTGGAGAAAACCTAGACTGTGCACGGGGTTTTACAAGGTTGTAATTAGTTACTACAAAACCAAAACCTCTGAAGTAGTTTTTTTTTTCGTGTTAAATTTGGTGGGTATTAAGTAACGCTATGAAATTGGCGATTTCGTTTATGTCGCTTGTTAAACTTCGTAGCCTTCTGACCTGAGTACATTTAAACACACTTCATTAGTATTCATTAAGTCATATTGAGACCAAGGAAATTTCGGATTTCGCTACGGGTCTTCATCGTTTACTTGCAATAGCTCAGTTATCCAAGTAACGGTATGATTTGCTTAAGCTATGCATTTTATCTTAATTGAGGGCGTCTAAAGTTTGAGAATCAACTTTACCTGTCTAAATCGTCCACTAGATCGTGCTTGTAACGCAGTGGTTAGGTATGCTCTGCAATACACACGTCGTCACTGGCTCCATCCCGCGCACCTAAGCTCACCAAGCCCTACATCACTCCCGAGTGGGAAAATTCGTACCGGGCTTGTCTGGTATAGCAGCCCTGGTTTGGTACATTGAGAGACTACCGCGAATCTTTAAAGGCAAGAAATGCATTCAATCACATCTAACCAATGCGTAATGAAATCGAATACATTGTGTTTCCCTCAGGAGGTGATCATCGCCGGGCAACTGGCTTATTTTTCTTTAAAGCTTTCATTGCGTTATTGTTAACCCCATAGTTTTAGAGTCCGATTACTGTGCCAGCTTCATCCGGTGATGATGAGGAATGGAGTGCTCCAAAAAAGCGACGGAGGACGAGGAAGCGGAAATTGTAAAGTATTTGTATATTCCTACAGATAGTTTTATTTTCATTTCTGTGCTCAGTGTTCTTTCTACAAAATATCCTATTTCACCCGTAATTTCGCTACGTGTACATTTCGACTATGAGTAGCTTCTGTTCACGTGTGACCTTATGATGCGTGGTTGTGTTTTCAGCATAGTTTCTTTATGGTCTTTCTTCGTTGTTTGCGTTGGGTCTTGTCTCACCACCGTTGTCTCATTATTCGTGTAATCTGGGAATAATTCTCCCATTAGCGCCACCTAATCAGTTTCGTTCTGCTACCCTACGGGTAAAAATCTCTACTTTTCTAAAAGAATTCTTGTATCATCTTTTCTGTTCTCAGGCTCTCATAAATTGTGATGAATCAGGTTTATAATCAAGGAATTTAATTTATTGTCACATAATATGAAAAATCTAAAGGCATATTAGGGCAAGGCAAAGACATATTCTTCGAGTTCTCCTTATGTTATAGGTAAGTGCTGCATACAACATTTCCATTCCAGTTTACTAACTAGTAAGGCGAGGATACGACTGACGACCCTCGTCAGAGATCGGAAGACAGCACGCTGCCATTTGAGGCAAACGTTTTTGTTATTTTGCTCGTTAAAGGAGTATTAAGTCGTTAATCGAGAAATTGTAATCATGGTGAGCACGAGCGACGCTGGTCCCTCGAGCCTTTTCTAATTGAGGGCGGAGCTATTTCACAAGATATACCATTCTCCGTGAAGGTATAGTGCGCTTCATTTTTTGTTCACGCGACTTTTGGACCGATTTTTTGAGTAATTTCTTATAGTCGTAATCAATTGCAGATGTCATTCAATTCCTGTGAGGTTCCGTCATCGCTATATTTGCTCGTCGATGAGCAAGCTGGCGGTATTCTTGCTCCATGGGTGAAATATTCACGTTCGTCTGGAGACTACAGTATTCTTGGAGAATATCTTGACACTGCTGTGCGTAGTCAAGTTTATGTCACGATTAGAATGCAAGGGCGATGGGTAGTAATAAATTTACAACTGGGGCGTTTCAGCTGATGAAGTTTGACTTCTGAAATTAGTGAGTCTACATCCACCTTAGGGGTATACTGTGTGATGAGCATTACTATGCAGCTGAGTCATTGCAGTAACGCTGATACGAAGATATCAAATGCAGCACGTCGTCCGTCTCCATTACGCAACCAGTTCAAAAGTAACTGTGCGCTAGGCTTTTTTTGTCGGTACAAATATTCATTTTAAGAAAGACGTTGATATTACAGCAAAAAAAATCCTCATGCGTCCAAACTGTAAAAAAGGAGCTGGGAGACTTTTCATCAAGCAGTCATTCATGTTAGGAAATGAAATACTAGGTCAGATAGCTCTTGACCGAGGTTGGAATTCTTAGGAGCAGAACATGACTACGCATTTCATACGTTAGTTTGTTCGGTCGGTTAATGTGATTTAGAAGGAACCACTTCCTCATGGAAGACAACCAGTGTTGTTATGAACTTCCATAAATAAACGTAGTAAAGCACCTGGTTATAATTCTCATTGGCTTTAACTCATTCTCACACCATTGTGGTACCGGGCTAATACATATGGTTAGGGCCGTTGTAGTTTTCAGTTATAGTAAATAAAGTATCATGCAGGTAATCATCCAGGTAATCATAGTTATTATGTGGTTGTGATGACGACAACATTTAGGTAAAGTCGTACCTTTACAACGGCGGAAAAGGGAAACTTGTTTCGATATCGGTTTTGGTTAAGAGGAGGAATAAAGAGGTGGGTTATATTAGTTGCAAATATGGGTCCGTGAGTCTACATCCACCTTAGGGGTATACTGTGTGAGCAAGTGAAGGTAATAAGAGGGATTAAAATATTTCACCTGTAGTGCAACCATTTCAGTAAAATTTCGAAGTAAATAAGCAGCCAGAGGGTAACTGGAAAGGACTTGAAAAAATTGCATATATTAAGTTATTTGATATTTGATATTAATTCTATGTATGTTTTATAAATGCATAAAAATGTCTGAAGAATAACCGAAGCTCTCTTCATTATCAGAGAAATGCTCAATTGGGAGCACTTCGACGAAAAAAGGGAAGAGGAAAAAGCGGTCCGAACATTCTTGATGACATCAGTCAGGATCGATTGGACGCCAGTGACTTCCTCAAAGGTTCGATTCTCCAAGTTTGCTCAGTGCACATCCTTCTGATTTTGTCAATTAATTTCCTATATCGTGCAGCTTTGAAAATACTCGACGGCGCAAGTGCTCGTGGTCAGAAAGTTTTCAAGTATCGAGAATTGGTCTGGGATGTAGAGCAAAGAGGTAGCGTTTATTGTGACTGTCACCCATCTGACATCAAGCACCACTGAGTATTGAGAGGCCTAATTTCATGAAGCCTTATCAACTAGTGATTTTTAGGGAAGATGGGAGAAAATCTACTACACATCTGCCTGCTACATAACACTGCTGATATGAATGAGCTAGCAAAGCAGATCGTCATTCGATTTCCCAAGATTGTTAACGATATTTTTATTTCCGAAGACTACTATGGTGTGCACTTGAGAACATTGCTGTGCATTTTCCAGGTTTAGCGCTATGGTGCATTCGCCGAGACTGAGTGTACCGAAAGCAACAGCTTGCAGGTCTTTCTCCTCTCCACCAAGCCATCGTTAATGAGGACGTCGAAATGGTTTACTTCTTGTGCAAAAAAGGAGCAGATGTTCACCAGCGGTTGTTCAGACTTATATCTCAATTCGTAACTGCAAGACTTTTACTAAAGAATGATTTGCACAACGAATAATTTAATCTCTCTAGAAATTTATATCAATTAGATGGAAACTTTCTTCGTTTTTATCCAATATGCAGGTGCTATGGATCGTTCTTCTGCGCAGATGATCAAAAGGCTTCTCGTACGGACTCTCTTGAGCACGAATGGGTGGATCTCGTACAGAACACTAGATACACTGGGTAAAAAAATGTAACTGCTTTTCCACTACTCCTTGTACACGGACCAACCTTTTTCGAACTCTTACGAAGCATTACAAACTCAGAAACTCAGAAAAACTGCTCTTAATCAACGTGCATATTACAAAATCTTTAATACTCTAATGCGTGAATGCGTAGTCTTAATAAAAACTCATGTAGGCCTCGAAATAGTTTCTGTTTTGCAACTTATTTTGCTAGTCAGGTAAGATTCTGCAGTATTTTCCCGGAGTCTTAAGACATTAGTGTTAAGACTTGCTTATTTCTTTAACGAGTATTAGTAAAATATTTCTCCTTTTGCTCTCCTTGATTTTGATCGCTTACAGTAAGCTCGCGTTGCTTGCTCCTTAGTAGTTACCAGTACTTTTACGATAACAATCTCTCGTTGATATCACCGTTACAGGCAGATGTACTGGGGCGAGCTTCCATTGTCATTCGCTGCTTGCACTAACAACCAGGTATGATCGTATCACTGCTCGGAGTTGTGTAAGAAAAAAGTGTGACCTTCTTTGGTAGTAGAGATGCATTTCACAAATCATAAAATTCAGTTATCGACCTAAAGTTCGTTTAAAATTCAATGTAACGATTTGGTGTACACGTTTCATTGCGGTGATTTCAGGATTGTTTTCGACTATTGCGGGCGTTTCGAGCTGATCCAAACATGACAGACACTAACGGCAATACTGTGCTGCATATGACTGTAATTCACGATTTACCAGTAAGTACTATATTACGTTTAAGCTTCCACATCCTTCAGATCCCATAAAGGTTTCTGAAGTGGTGAAGACTTGACATTAATGGGCGTTACGCATGTCTGATGGCAGTCTTTCCTTCCCACAAATGTTCTTCAGAGAGGGTGCCGCGTAGTCAGGAGCCAACGTGACGCGTCCCCATACAGTCGATGAAGAGTTAATCACTGACAAAAAGCGACCTTATGCTTTTTTGAGATACACGTGGATCCACGGGAAGAACTTACTGTTTCTGTTGCGCCGATTTCTCACATACCTTCTACATCTGCAAAGACGTATTCATGCATGCATAAAAAGGATAGAGCTCTCCGCGTTGATCAATCTCTGGGGGATGCGCCATGCATTCGACTTCACTAAGCATTGTTTGGAAGTGACTGAATGCATATCTGGCCTCTACAATGACTCGCGGCCTGCCATTGTATCGAGCCAATGCGGCTATCCTCCCAGACAAGTCTGGTACCAATTTACCGACTCCGGAGAGATGGAAGGGTTGGTGGGCCATGAGCGTGGGGATCGATTTCACGTGTGTGCTGCAGGGCGCCTCCGACCACTGCGCCACACGCGCCCTAACATTAGGGTAGAATAAACGTAAAGCAAAATTTGTTTTGTATGTAATGCTGAGATATTTGCAAAACTCCGGACCGCAGGTGTATGCGGTGGGGAGCGAACACGCACTGTTGTCCTTACCGGGGAGCAGCGCACAAAATTTGTTATTGATCACGATATCTACATTAGCTCTTCGTAGCTGTATGGAAACGTGGACCATGTCCGTACCGGAGTAGGTTTAAGGTCTTTGTTTATTGTCTTGCAAACGGTACTCGATCCACACAGACTTGCATTCACAAAAGCCCTAAATCGTCGAACTAGCAGATGTATTTTAGAAACTCTTATATTTTGCATGTTTTATCTGGTCTATTATTACAGGAAATGTTCATGTTGGCTTACAACAGTGGAGCTTCGCTGAGTGTAAGAAATAACTTGAAACTCACTCCTCTGGCACTTGCAGCTAGGTTAGCGAATAAGCGGGTGAGAATGGTTCTAAATACCGTCAGTGTGATTCTGTCATTCTAAGCACTTATAATGTGAAGAGGAATACATATGTATTAGAACCCTCGGTTTTTCGTCAAAAGGAATTAAGTTTACTAAGTAAGCCATGTTATTATACTACAAATTGAAACGTATTTTTGGCTACCCGTGCCTTTTACCTGAGCATTCGACCTATCTTTAAAATGAATGCGTCCACTCACGAACTTCCATGCATGCAATTTGAGCACTTTCAAACGAAAAAAAGAATTAGCATTCTGATGAAAACTATTTTTTCTTCTAAGAAAATGGGACTTTCTCTTTAAGGCGAAATTTTTCCGAGTCTTCAGTTTTCCGCCAGACATGAACCGACCAGCGATTTTTCATTCCAACCATAAAAATGTTTGCCTGGCTGTTCGTACTGTATTCACTGCACACAGCCTGTAGGGTGAAGCTGGGTGTCGTCGCTAGAGTTGCGCAAAATAGAGTCGCCGTCTTAGGTATTTATTCGAAGATAAACAAAAGAAATACCAATGTTAATGAACGAGATTAAAAGAACTAATGTTTCACTAGGAAGCAGGCGAGGAATTAGAGTAATAGGATTTGGTGAATTTCAGACTCTTGGCTAAGAGATTTTAGAAGACTACCTATGTGAGGTGCCAGTTTGCCATTATTCAAAGCACTTTAACTGATTAATCCATTTCGCCCCGTATGGATACCATAATGTCTATGCCGAGTTTAGTAGGTTTCAGAAATTGCTGTCCAACGAGGCGAGGCATACTCATTCGATAGTCAATGGAAGGCAAATCAAAACGGGAAGGATGGGATCAGAATACCCATCCTCTACACTTAATGATTTAAGAAACATGTTTCCGAAAGAATTCGTTGGCCGGAAATCTAACTAATATTTATCTGTTATTTCATCTTAATTGAGATAGTTATTGTATGGAGTGTGCGGATATAAAAAGCAGCGGAATAAACTCAACATTTACTGCGTGAAACTTCCAAGCGACGACAGCAATGCATTTGCAGCATGGACAGCGCCAGCACATAGGAAATATTAGCATATACATCACTCATACATATAAAACGATAGAGCAATGTCTCTTCTACAATCCTGTCATATTCAAAGCCCTTCAACTACCTAATTTTTTGGGAAAAGACTTTTTATTGTCAAAAAACCAGGAAGTCCTTAGCCCGCGAAAAATTCCGTGTAGCCTTCGGACCAGCCACGCAAAACGGTAGTCGGGGTGGAATGGGTTAACAGTTTTATGCCCTGTCCAACATATCTTGTTGGTGAAATATTTGACTTCTTCCACGTTTTGTTAACTGTGTGAATTTGACTTGCTTCTGGACAACAAATTATTTTCGAAAAAAACGTACTGGAGTAGAAAGAAACTAGCTGTTCTGTCAGATGTTTTCTCTCATACTGGAATGCGAAATGGATATCGTTTGGCGATATGGAGACATCGTGTGCAAGGCGTACCCTCTCTTGGAAATGGACAGTGTTCGCGAAGAAGATGGAGGTCTAAATCCCTGCTCCGTTCTAGCTAATGTCGTTTATGGGGTACGTGTCCCGTTCATTCTCTTGTGCAGTAAGAAAATACAATAACGTGAAGTATTATTGAAGGACAAGAGAAGCCATCTTGACTTCTTCGATGGATTAATAGAAGAGCTCCTGGAGCGAAAATGGGAAGCTTTCGCAAAGAAACGGTAGGTTGTTTCTTAGTTTAGTAGCATTCATCACGCTGGAATTCATTTGTATTAAAAGATCAGATTTCTTCTTTTATTACTGATCTCACTTTTAATAAAACAATCACTTTGGATACTTTCTTTCTATTTCAATTCCCACCATGACACATTCATAACGACTCCTTAACACACACTTATCCCTCGATACATCGGCAGGCGACCGTGAGTCATTGTAGAGGCCAGATATGTATTCAATCACCTCTAATGATACTTAGTGAACTCGGATGCATGGCGCATCCCTCAGGGATTGATCAACGCTGAGAGCTTTATCCTTTTGTTTCTTCAACCATTGCTATCAGCAAGTATGCACCAAGCATACGAAGACATTACTGAGCGCTTTCGGGCCAACTGCGAAACAAGTTCTTGAGTTGGCCTTTGGGAATCAAATTACAGTTGGTGCAAGGGATGTGCATTGAAAGGTAGATAATAGCTTCAATTCCTTGGAGAATGTTCTCTATATCATCACACTCAAGAGAATTGTGTGAAAAGCAACTCTCGAGAACAAAAGTCAGAATTTCATCAAAAATCGGCTCCTGTTTTGTTGAGCTGTTGGAGCAAATATGTGGTTCCTTCACATGGAAATGCTCGTGAACATAGAAATCTTCTGAATTTGCAGACAACGGCTACGCTACTGAGTCACAGGAATTGTTCGACATACTACTTTAGAAGTTCTTCCTCCCGTTGCTTTACCGCCTCATGGTTTTTGGTGGATGTTCTTGAATGTTGAATTGTGATCTATAAGATGATTCATCCATGCAATGGAGGCGTTCAAGTTGAGCGTTTTGACATTTTTATCAGAAATGCAACCAAAGTAAGTCAGGGCCGTGGATGAACCAACCAAACTGCCTGTAGCTGTTTTCTTCGCATGCAGTAGAAAATCACGGTGACGTGAGTGTGGTACTACCCCTATTTGTCGAGGAAACGGAGCCCATTAAACAGTTCTAGTGCATTGTCGAGAGCCATGGAGCTTTGAGGGCTTGCTGGTTTTTTGAACAGCAAAAAATAGTTTTTCAGTATGTATTCTTTCTTGATAAGCTTGCACGAGGTTGATAAATATATTTATTTTCGGCTAACGTTTCGACGTCTTCGTCTTCCTCAGAGCCGGTGATCCGAGTCGATGGTCCATGCTTGTTGTTGTATGTCCGGAAGAAATACAAGTTGTTACCACCGGACATTGTCATTATATACCCACCATCAGCATCGTGTATAAAAGGGCATCGCTGAGTGAGGATGCCTCATTCGAGAAGATGGCTCATTGAGGAAGATCTGGCTCGACACGAAGGCGAAGACGCAACGTCGAGGCGAACAACAAGCATGGACCATCGACTCGGATCACCGGCTCTGAGGAAGACGAAGACGTCGAAACGTTAGCCGAAAATAAATATATTTGTCAACCTCGTGCAAGCTTATCAAGAAAGAATACATATTGATTAGTCACACTGAGGTTTAGGGAAGGTTGGTTTCGAAAAAAAAGTTTTTCAGTAATTAAAGGGTTTTGGGGATTCTGGATATGACGGGATTGTAGAAGGAGCTTTTCTCTGTCGTTCTGCGGATATGAATGCTATGTGTGCGACTATTTACTATGTTCTACTGTGGTCCGTTATGTGAATACGTCGCTGTCAGCATCGGAAGTATTTTGCAGCCTTTGTTGAGTCCATTTCGATACCTTTTACATCCGCACATTCCATGCAATAGCCACAGTGATTAAATCGGAATAGCAATTAGCCGTATATTAAAGTATGATTTTGATTTGCTTCGATTAGTTGTCGAATTATCGAGAATATATCTATATATGTATATACATATATATATAGCGCGCCGAAAAATTCAGAAATCCAAAGAACTGGAAATGGACACCCTAATGTCCATGTCACCAGAGCAGACTTTGACTACACCGACCTCGGTTCTCCAGGGAACCAAAATGGCTAAACCAGCAAAACTCCGAAACAATGGAAATTATGCTGGGGCTCGCACAACCACTGAAGACGGGCCATCTAAGTATCTGAGTATCCAAGTAATGTCCATGTCGTCCACTGGGGCAGAGAACGTATGGGCACTATAGTGTCCATACCTGGCATTATGCGTCGTCATTGTAGCTCGCTTTGATTACCTGATTATTGTAATGATTCAGGTAACAGGTAGCAAATATCCTTTACTTTTCTCTTCGTAAGTTGGACGACAAGCAGTGAAAATTCCTGAATAAATGAATCATATTTTTATATGTAAAAATGGTGAATTTCACCCACTGTGTTCGTATAAACTGAGCCTCTATCACATCGTTTTAGATTATTTCGATCGCTGTTTGGCTACTTATGTTTTATTATCGTCTTTTACATCGCACTCATGACTCGCGACGTCACGGAGTCGGTACGTCCACTTTTTGTGTACGACAGCTTTCCAATTATGAAATGTGATGTGAGTATTCTTCCTTTGATGAGCTTACACGAGATTGATAATGATATTTATTTTCGGCTAACGTTTCGACGTTTTCCTAAATATCATTATCAACCTCGTGTAAGCTCATCAAAGAAAGAATACATATTGATTAGTGATACCGAGGTTCAAGGAAAGTCGGTTCCGAAATATTACTACGCTTTGTGATATGAGTGTCTGTACGTTCAAATGTCCAAAGAACTGCGTGTTTTTGACAGTACGCGATTTTCAACTCCGAAGCGCACAGCGACGAGGTTTTAGTCTGCTTTAATCCGGAAGACAGATCATGTTAGAATTTCTATCAGCACGTGATATGATATGAACTGTAACAGCCGAATTATTGAAGACTCTCTGCGCCGAACTCTCGCAAGTGATAGTTTGAAAATGGATGTTTATATTTGTGAACGCTTTTTTTTGTTTATTTTTTTAATATTTTTTTTATTTTTTATTTATTTGTGAACGCCTTGAACTGTTTGCAAACGTGGAAAAAGCTCAAAAAGAAAGGGATAATATCCCATAAGTTTATCAATATTCTGTAAGCAGAGAGAAGTTCAACATTTTCTTTATGTGATGACCGCGAAATTGGCTTGGTTATAGTGAATACTATCAATGTCGAACGACTATTACCAAAGTGCTGGCTTATTCACCAGTTATCACCACACCACCTTTGTCAGTGTTCATTGTATCCGGTCCATATTTTCACATTTTCTGCGTTGTTTGTCGAGAATTACCTTCATGCTCATTGCAGTACGTGAGCGGGGAGGATGGATCGTTCTCCAACGTGTCGTCCGTTGACGACGTCATCATCACCGTTCAACAGCTGGCGCAGTTCGAGAGCGGTCGAAATGAACCGATGCTGCAACAGTGTCATCTGTGGAAATACACCGGAAGTTATAAGCAAATGGTAGCGTATTTCTATAATTTAGCACGACATATCAACTGGCCTAAAAGGTTTGAAATGCTCGCTCGTTTAATCATTTGGGCTCCTTAAAGTGCTTACTTTGCTAAATCCTCAGTTAAAAAAATGGTTAACAAGAGCAGTGGGAATCACGAAAAATTCCCTTCTTTGTTTCAACGTAATAATCTCGCACCAGCAGACTCCCTGAAACCAGTATGACTTTAAAGTGTGCGCTACTCTGAGTTAATAATAGTTACCTAATAATTATGACCTATAACCTTGAAAATGAAGGGGAGCTGTGAATCTCTACTCAAAACAGCTTTTCTTTGCCGACAAGTACATCACTCTGTTTTTTATGCAATATATCAAATATCAAAACTAATTCATTTTGGAGAATGGCCATAGCGAGTGAAGGAAAGCACTAGAATACACACATGTGAAAGCCGGGTCATATAGGTATTTAGGTAACTATATAAAAGCGTTAAGGACGCATGCATCGCAGTGGTCGAAGGTGCCCTGCAACACGATAAATCCCAGCGCCCAAGGCTCACCAAACGTTCCATCTCTACGCGGTCGGTAAATTGGTATCAGACTTGTCTGGGAGGTAGTAGCACTGGCTCCATAGATCGGTAGTACGCCATGAGTCGTTGTAAAGGTCAAATATGCATTCAATCATCTCCAACGATGCTTAATGAAGTTGACTGCATGACGCATCCATCAAAGTTTGTTCAACGCTGAGAGCTTTATCCTTTATATAGATGCGTTCTTAGTGGCCAATGATTCCATGAATCACAATTTTAACTTATTATTTACTGCCTACTCTTTTTAACGGCAGGGTATACATTGTGAAATATAACTTCAGTGATGCTGAGATATTTGCAAAACTCCGGACCGCAGGTGTATATGCGATGGGGGACGAACGCGCTATTGTCCTTCCCGTGGAGTAGCGCGTTTACCATCCCCACAAACCCGCTGACTGGTGATTGCTGATGGCAAAAGATCGATAGAACTAGCTGAGAGACAGGCGAAACGAAGGACCCGCGTGATGTGGTGGTGAACGCGCTACTCCCCGGAAAGGACAATAGCGCGTTCGTTCCCCACCTCATACACCTGCGGTCCGGAGTTCTGCAAATATCTCAGCATCACTGAAGTTAGATTCCATGAATCTCGAGTGTTTGAAAAAAATGCGGAATATTTTGTTACAATGATATTTGCCTTCGATAACTCTATTAGGATATCCACGGATGAGGGACACAGTGAATATAGGATGTATTTACGGCTTAGGCTTAGGCTTAGGCTTAGGCATTCACAGTAGGAAGAATCAGAAATGTAATAATTTGAAAGGTTAAAAAATCCCAAATCTAGTGTCATACATTCGTTGCATTTTCATCATCTGCGCACTCGAAGTGTTGCTATATTATGCAAGAGTAGTAAGCATATTTGTGAAACTATAAGTATATTTCGAGGAAGTAAATATGGAAGAATACGTGGAGCGATAGGTTAGAGAAAGAGAATAGCGATTAGAGATTCTTTTAATTTCTAAACAAAGGAGGAATTTTCTACCAGAGTCTCCTTAATACCGTTTCAGGAGAACTCTTCAAACGTACTATTTTTCCATGACCGACTTTCTGTTAACCTCGGCATTAATTGATAATTCAATGTTTTTCATCAATAAGCAGACACGAGGTTGTTAATATAGAATTTATTAGAACACAATTGCTGACGTTTCGGCGGTTTCGCCTTCTTCAGAGCCTGGAAAGGTCAAATTGAGATGCGATCTACTCAGCCAAACACTTTCATAACCCCAGCAGATAAAACTTGATAAATCGATTTGTGTTCGCATAAGAAACAGCTTCATTCAAACACCTACCGTTTATTTGTCGTAAGTATTTAAGTTAGTTGGTGGATAGCCGCCGCACAGAGTAATACATGGTCGATAACTGGGTCCATGTCAGATCATTGGATCAGCCTGAGGTATGGCGCTAGGTCACGCGTGATGACAAGACACTCCTCCTTGCGGTTCATTTTTGAATTTTTGGCATTGATCCAAAACGCTTCAAGAGTTTTTCGCGCTGATGTTTTCGATTCCTGCGTAAGGATAGTGACCCCTACCTCAAAATCT